GGCTTTGAAGGTTAAATAGGAGCTTGTCAGGGGACTATGGGTTTTTCCAGAAGCATTAGAGACCCACATCAGCAAGCAAAGACCCACATCTGCATTGGGGGTCAAGAGTAGTTTAGCACAGTTGGTACAATTAAGGAGTGATTGGATATTTAAGAAGAAAATACTGGACACTTGGTAGTGGCCACAGTTGGAAGGCTGACCATGTTAAATCTTTATCCACCAGGAACTGGGGACCGTGGGACATTAAGGAGTAGGGGAAGGGGTGGCCAGATCTGTTTGAACAGGAGAGCCATGTGCTAGGCCAGGACTGGGGATCAAACAGGAACTTTTTCATCCACCTCCAACTCAAAGTATAGATTTTGCTCTTGGTGTAGAGACCAGCTTAAGAAACATCTGTGGGAAACTCGGGCTTCCCTGTCAGACTACCCCGAAATAGTACATTGGTTGGGAGACAGAATGTCTGGGTTTTTTTGACTTTTTAGAGGATTTATTGGAAGAACCTGGATATTGGCAAATCCTTCTAAATTGGGGTATATCCATTTTGCCTTACCTGCCCAGCAGACTGAGGACGGAAGTATCAGGAGAAAAATGCTTTGAGTATGTCAACAAGAATGAGAAACAAAAATCAAACACTAACTTGTAAAGGGAACCTCAGTTTCCCCTTTCATAAAATGGAGGTGGGAGAGGGAACTCCCACCCCTCCTCTGTTGTGAGGATCTACTGAGGTAAAGGAGAGTGTACAGGCTTCAGAGGTGTCACCGGGGTATGCAGAAGGAAGGGGTTACTATATACCAGCGAAAAGTGACCTGATCAGACAGGACACATGCTTCCTGAAACAGTCCCTTCCATCTGTTGTGTCTAAGGGACTCTGCCTGTAGCTGACACAGATTCATTTACCTCCCTAGCTTTCAGCGAGTGTATCTAGAGTTCCTTCAGTATCTCTGTAAAGTTTTCTTTACCAATTTTAGTTGGTGTTTTTTTTTTTTCCTCTTTTAGCTTCTAAGTGGGTATGCAGATACAGCATCTGAGTGTCTCAGGGGTTCAGCCACCATTCAGTAACCTGCTGATTCAGTGCCAGTGAGTACAAATCGAAACAGCATAGGTGACATGGGTTTTAGAATCCTACTCAACGCCCCCTGGGCTGGACAGGTTTGACTGCTTGCCCTCACTGACTTCAGATCATTGCCAAACCTCCACCTGAGGGCCCATCCATCAATCGGTCTGTCTACCTACCTACCTATGTCTACATAAAGAGCTATTCTCGTCTTTTGCTCTGTTTAGAGGATCACATACGATGGACATGAAACATAAAAGGATGACAAATGGTCCTCCCACTTTAGGGGATCATTATAATTATTGTGCAGTATGAGTGAAAAATGCTGTGCTAGGTGCAGTCAGATGTCAAAAGGATTCCGGAAATGTGAAGTTACTTTCCACGGTTGTGAAGTTGCGTTTGTATTTATTTCCTCCTTTTCCTTTAAGAACAAGTGGAGGACTTTCAGGAGGGCAGGTGGCAACATGCTGAGTTGTCTAGGGTGCCAGAGAAGACCAAAGCGATTCGAAAGTGTTACATCAATGGTATCGTGGAAAACAATTAAAAAAGGTGGACTCCCCATGTACGTGATGCCAGAGAAGCAGTCTGATTGACGCTCCTACCCTAGGCACCCTCCTCCTGCCCAGCTAAGCTAACTGGCTCTGGGAGCCTTCTAGATGTTAGCCCGAAAGAGTTTCTGTGTTTATGCTAATATGGCAGCCGTTGGTTTCCTCCCTGTTTTGACCACAACCAGGGCATTGAAGCTCTAGGTACCTTCCTCAGGGTTTAAGAATATTTGTTTTTCAGGAGATGGTAAGAAATTTACTCAAGATTTACTTTTTTGTTCTAAGGTAAAGGCTTCCAAAGGGTGTTGGTTTCCAACTTTCGTTTTAGTTTCACTTAATATGAAAAAAAAAAAAAAGGTTTTATTTTCGTAGAGCATTCTGATTCTAACAGTAGTTCCTTTGCATTTTCACAGTTAGAACATTCCGTGATACATTCCACAGCATTCATCAGGTAGAGAGCTCTTGGTAGTTTTATATGAAATATGATTGAATGACTGCATGTGAACAGCGAATGATGGTTTCATAAACAAACTTTAGGAACCATAGATTCAGTTTAGCGCTATAAAAACATGTCACGATGGGCGCCTCGGTGGCTTAGTCAGTTAAGCCTCTGCCTTCGGCTCAGGTCATGATCCCAGGACTGGGATCAAGTCCCACATCGCGCTCCCTGCTCAGCCGGGAGCCTGCTTCTCCCTCTCCCTTTGCCGCTCTCCCTGCTTGTGTTCTCTGACAAATAAGTAAAATATTAAAACAAAAAACAAAAAACATGTCACTATACACTAGCCACTAGAAGGCGCTAATATGAAGAAATGGAATACATAAAATATATAATAAGTAAAATGAGAGAAGAATGGAATACATAAACTGAAAAGGTTGGTGTCTATGTGTTTAAGAGAGGAGGAAGGGGGGGGGCAGAAACTAGAATATGGACTACAAATTCACTTAGGTATGTGTGATAGCGTATTGAATGGGGCCTCAGAAGCCGGAGCATACAATAGAACAGGTGGCTGCTGAATTTAGATACTCCCATATATCAAAATCAAACAGGTACCTTCCCTGCTTATCTTTTAATATTTTTCCTGTGGACCTGCTTCCGTGGCAAAAGGAGTGCCTCACCTGGGCTTTCTCCCATGCAAAGAAATTACATGTAAAAATTGTTAATCTCCAAATATGAAATGTTTCATGTTTCTAAAAATTGAACAGTCTTTAAATGGAAAAAAAAATTATTCCCTTTGACCATCCTATTTGAGATGGTGAAGGTTCTTGTTCTAACAAACTGAAACAGAATTGATGATAGGGAGTTAAGCAGGTTTTCAGGGAGCGTATTTTGCCAGAGAAGACATTTCGCTGGACAAGTAAGAGACTGAAAAGATATGTTGATGTGTTGGAAACACCATTGTTCATCTTTTGTGTGTGTGTGCGCGCGCGCGCACAAGTTAAAATCTAGGACATATAAAATTAAATGTCATAAGAAAATGTAATAAGCAAGCATCTCAATTGTTAGGTGCTCTTTATTATACAGTATAAACGGCTCTGTAATGTGGTAATGACAGGACATCTCGGCACTCAGAACTGATAGGTACGAGAGTAAATAGTTTTGTTTTTTTGTATGTGTGTGCACGTTAAATAGTTTTGTCCTGCACCATTTTTGGAAAACCTGGATACTGAAGCTTGCTTTTTCAGGCTAGAAAACGTCAACGCCAAGTGATGTTTCCCAGTGACATCAGAACATTTTAATTAATATGTTGTGGTATTTGGGGATGTTTCTCCTATTTGAGGTAATAAGCACTTAGCGAACATGAAGATGGTTATCAGCCATTCAGTAAACACTTTTCATACACAACCATGTGCCAGAAGTGTGTGTGTTAAGAGAAAGGTGAATTAGAAGAGCAACCACCACAATATAACAGAGAAATACATTCCAGGCTTCTTGCTTAAATGCCTTTAACTGCTTTTAAAAATCAAGCCTAAATATTTGCACCTGCATTCTTAAAAAGTTTTCCCATGTTAAAGAGAAACTGCAGAAACTACAGGAAACTGTAGAAAATCTAAAATGGAGAAAGCCAGTGTTAGTATTTGCTATTTCCTTCCAGTCCTTCCTCTTAAAATGTTTCTGGTGCTTCCCTCTCTCCTTCAATGCACATACACTAAATTATACAATTAGGAATCATACGGTTTATACTCCTAGGTCCTGCTTTTTCCACTTAACATTCCATGAGCATTTTTCCGTGTCATTAAATATGCTTTGAATATGTTCTTGGCCACATAAAATTCCATCCTATCGATGCACCTGTTTTCTTTTAAGCTAAGACACATGCCGTGTTTTTCCAGTCATGCTGGACTCTTAAAAGCCAAGGAAAATACTTCATGTTGATCCACTGTAAGGCTCTTAAGAATTTGTTTTCTATTTATAAGATGCACCCACACTTTGGACACAACGTATAATGGATAGTTAATAAGCAGCCTTAAGAAGGTGTCAGCTTGTTTGCTTAACGATGTTGGTCACCCGCATCACCATAACAAATTTATCAAGTGCCAACAAGGGTCACAAATGCTTCTTCCATTTTGTAACCTCCACAAACAAAAGTCAAACTCTTGTGTACTCACTCTCAAAAAAGGGTCTGTGCAGTTTTGAAGCCGAGTTAACTTCAGAAATATGCAACCAGCTTACAAAAACACCACTTAAAGATGTACTTAAACTTTATGCCGTAGTTTGTGACAGAGTACTTTCTAATTAATGCATTTCAGTCCGCTCTGAGTTTGCAGAGAAGACAGATGAAATTTTAAAACATTCTGCCAGAAAATTTGGTTCTAACCTCTTGAGGACTCTTAACTACTCTATCTGTAACACACATGAAGCATAAATGAATCCTTTAATCCTCAGGAGGGCACTGTGGAACTATGTTCTCAGGGTTCTCTGCAGTGGGAAATTTCTTTTGTTCCTCAAATTGTTCTGAGTGCAAGGCAGGGCCCCTAAAAGGTTTTTATATTTTCATTTAATTTTAAAGAGAAACCATAAGGATCTTTTAAAATATGAAACTGGAATGTATTTTATGAATACTTTCCTATATACTTTCCTATTAAAAATTGAGCATACTGAAGAATGACAGGGTGGTGTCTACCTGGAAATTCATGTTCAGGTAAGGAAATTGCTTTCATGTACTTTTTACACAAAGAGCAACCTGAACCAGGTCAAGTTTACTTCTATGATCTCCAATAGGTTCCAGCCTCACAACTTAAATAGTTCTCACAGTAAAACTAGCCTTAAAAACATCCTCCTTTACCTTTAATCTCTTGAGATGATGTTGGCCTTTCAGTGTGCCTTTCCCATGCCCACCTATGTTTAAACTGAAATTTCAAGGACATGCTTTTTCCAGAGGAGAAACAGAACAAAAGCAATATTCAGATAAAATATTATAGGTTTATTTAAAACTTAATTCTCACCTTGAGTATGCAAAATACAAACTCCACAAAATGTTCATTTTTTACTTTGTAGTTTACAAATATACAAAATAGAAGTTTGCTTAAATTTATATTACATATTTATTAAGGCAAGGAACTATATAGAAAAAAAACATTTGTTCTGCTTAAGGCATACTTGGGAATAAACCATTGTACAAATTATTGCACATCTGAAACCACAGTGCATAACAGACTGTCTGCATAAAAATGTTAAAGAAGTAAACCAGGCATATTTACCTGACTTAGGTCATAAATGTAGATCGGAAGACAAAAATAGATTTTCCTTGTCAAAGTATGCAGCAGTTTGAGAACTTTGGCTTCCTCTTTTGGTACCTTTAGAACCAAGACTCACCAAGCACCATCGTTTAGGTTATTAAAAACACATTTTCTGTACCTGAATTTCTTCCTCTTCTTCTAAATATCATAATAATGGCTTTTTAGAAGGCAAAGAGAATACAAGGTGATCTTTATGCTTATACTGCTTCGAACACAATTCCAGGGAATTCTGGTCTTCCCTCCCCCACAACTCATGGATCTAATGTATACCCTGATATCCACACCTTCCAGTCACCCCCTTGGTGTTTTTGTAAGTCCAGGAATATTCAAGTTGGCTTTAGCAATGGAATGATAGAAGATCCAGTCACAGACCCCGTATCTGTTCTTTGATTGGTCTTCTGGTTTCCTTGTGTCTCCTAATTATCCATTCACAAGTTGGCTTGTTGGGAACTTGACCATGATTGTAGTGCTTTCCAGCTGGGATTCTCCCCTCCCCCCCTCCCCGGAGTTGGGAGGGGGGAGACAGTGTGAAAGATTAAAAAAAAAAAATACTGAATTCTCTCTTCTGGCAGTGTGGGTCATATCCACTGTTTGGGGATTTTAAAAGTGCCTCTTCATGTGTAAGGCTAGGTGGTCCGACCTGGAGAAGGCCCGGTCGCACTTCTGGCACTGGAATGGGCGGTGCCCGGTGTGTTTGCGATAGTGCCTGGTCAGTTCATCAGAGCGGGCAAATTTCCACCCACAGCCGTCCCAGTCACAGTGGTAGGGTTTCTCACCTGGCAGAGGAAAAGAAACCCGGTGAAGCCATCCATACCTAACGCAGAAATGACCAAACTGGAGCCTGAATGGCAAACCAACTCCCCGCAAACATCCCACTCTGAAAGCAGCCAGAGAAGTTTTTAGACCAATTCAAGGCCACACTCAATTCCGTATCATAAATTGAAATATTAAACCTAAATATTCTTTGGGGTTTTTTTGTTTCTGTGTTTGTTAGGGAACAGACCTACACTTCTATATTGCTAACATTTTCATTCTCTTAAGCCCAAATGTCACCGTGGTAGATAAAATCTGTCTGCTAGTCTCTCTCCCCCACCCAAACCAATCACTCACATCTTGTATCCCACTACAACTGGGTCGAAAACGCCACCAGCAACTAGTTTTTCCGCATCAGCGTTTCTATTATTTTCCTCAGTCCTACCCCTAAAATGACCTTATGTACCTATACTTAAACGAGATGAAAAATTCTCTGCAAGTGACCATCTTAAACCACAATCTTAACCATCACAACCGCTTAATTCTTGAAATTCAAGTAAAACCTACTTACCAAGGCTACAACTAAAAATAAAAAGCAGTATGAAATTTGGGACCAACCAGTGAAAACTGCCTAAAAATTAGAAACTAGTAACAAGACCTAACGTACTTTTGCACTGCAACGTGTTAATTTCTTGTTAAGGTTTTAAGTATCTCTACACCCAACTTGGGGTAGGAACCCACAACCTCGAGATCAAGAGTTGCGACAGCCAGGCGCCCCCAAAGTGTAATAATTTCTTGATTACAAGGCCAATGCTTTGCTCAAACAAGGAGAGACCCACAAGCAGCCTGGAATCTCCCTGCCTTTCAGAAGCCTAACAGAACCGCATATTCAAGCACTGATACCATCCATTAAGCAAAAGGCTCTTGGGCAAAAGAGGCGGCGCCGGTTTGGTTTGCTGTTCTCGCCTCTGATCCAAGAGATGGAGGAGATAGACTGCCCCACTTCTCCAAGGGAGGCCCTAAGAATGTCCACAGTTAACCAATGGGGCTGCAGACCAACCCCCCGCCCCCCGCAGTTTCTGTTCTCCTACCTGTGTGGGTTCGCAGGTGTGCCTTGAGATGAGAACTCTTCGTGTAGGTTTTACCGCAGCCTGCGTAATCACATGTGTGAGTGGCGGTCCTTTTCCGGGGCCACGATCTTCTCCCCCTCTTTGGTTTCGGCTCCTCCGGCATGCAGGAACCAGGAGGCATGAGCTCTAAGGGTGAAGAAGGTGGGGTCAGCATCATCCCCTCTCCCCGGAGGGCTGGCACAGGCAAGGCTCCCCAGCCCGAGCTATGAATCCCCAGGACTGACCTTGGTAATGGAGCGGTGGGACCTGTGGCTGCATCTGGTCTGGCAAGAAGGGTGGGTAGTTGGGTCCCGGATGGGGATGAAAGCCCGGGGGGAGCGATAGGGCAGGATGACAGTCCCTGCTGCTCAGCAGTTCCTCGGCACCCAGGGTCGGGGTAGTCCTGTTGGGGAGCTGCCGCCCCAAGGGGAAGTCGTGTGCTGGTGGTCGGTGGCCATTACTGAGAGGGGGTCCAGTGCCCAAGTGGGCCTCTAGGGGCCGACCAACTGTGCACGACGAGACTGCCTCCTGCTTTATTTTGGGGCACATGCGCGGAGGCCCGCCGCTGTAGGGCGCCACCACGACGGGGTGGCTGCCATCCGGGCTGCCTTTGCTAACACTGATGACCGACGGGCTGCCGTAGTCGCTGCCAGGGGCACTCAGCGACGCCTTCAACACAAACTTGCCCATCAGCCCGCCACCTGGCGGCTGCGGCTGCTGCGGCGGGATGTACACTGGGTCCAATTCCGGCCGAAGCAGCTCAGCTACGAAGCCGCCCGAGGGGCTCACGTCGTTGATGTCCGCCAGGTTGAAGGGAGCTGTGGGAGGAGGCACAGACTCCCGGCCATAGAGGAGACCGCCGCCGCCAGTGCTGCCCGGCGCCACGCCCGGGTCCCCTCCGGGCCGGATCGGATAACTGAAGCTGCAGGTGGAGGGCGCGCTGGCGGGACCGCTGCTCGATGGGGAGGACGATGACGACGCTGACGCCGACGAGGACACGGTGGCGGCCACTGACTCCGGATGGGACAGCGAATTGGAGAGGATAAAGTCCAGGTCCAAGAGATCATTGAACTCCTCAGTCTCCCTCCGGGGTAGGAGAGCAGGATTGGTGCCGCCACACGCCGCGCCGACTCCGCCGCTTTCCAGGTCGGTGGCCACAGTCGCCGCCGCCAGGTCGTAGGGGCGGCCGGGAAGGACGGGGGGAAGTCGCTTCATGTGAGAGAGCTCCTCCCGCCAGCGCTGCGGGTATAAGACGGAGAAGAGAAACCGTCGGTACTGGTCCCCTGCTGCCATACCACATACTGGTGAACCTGCCCGCGCCTATACCGCCCAGGCGCCGGGACCATAAAGACACGAAGCGCCGGCAGACTCCAGGTGCCAGTGCTGCAATCTCGGCCCATCCCCGGGCCGGAGAGAGGCGGTGCGTCGGTTTTCAGAATACTGTGTCTGCCCGATTGCGTGAGAGCAAGCACCGCGGCTGGGCAGCTCCGGTGCTTCCCCAGCCAGATCCCGGGGACGCTCCAGCCACCCTTGGAATTGGGACACCAGGATCTCCCTATGCGCCCTCACCACGGGTACGCCTACGCGCCAAGCTCACTCGGGCCCAGCCAGTGTCCAGGGACCCATTCACCTCCCATCCAGTGGCCCCCGCGCCAGCCCAGCAGCCTGAGAGTTACAAGACGTGTGCGGACTGGGTGTGCGCCCCCGGCGGCTCCCCAGCGTCCGGACCACACGCATGTACAACCCAGCCAAAGACACGGAAACCATCGTAAAACGACTTCGGGGCCGGTGCGGTGGCCCCTCCTTCCCTCCGCCGACCCCTGGGCTCCGCCCGTCCCTACCCCACCCACATAAGGCCACTGGACGCTGCCAACCTCTCCGGATAGTACTCACGTTATTCGGGGCACCTGCTGGACGCAGGGTCTTCTCCCTTCCCGCGGGGCCGGACGCGAACGTGGAGAAAGACGGGAGCAGTGCGTCGCTGACAGCCATGTCAGACTCGCCAGGTGGCTGCCTGCGGGCCGGGCGGGGCAGAGGCCGGAGTGAGGGGGCCACTCTCGACCGCCGCTCGGGTGCGTCCCACCGGCCTTCACCACCCTCCACCCCGCGCCCCACGCTGCACCTACCTCATTAATGTGGGGGCCCAGAAGGTCCTCGGGAATTCAAAGCAGTGGGGGTACCCAAACCCCAAAGTTAGGAGGAAAAAAGAAAAGGCTTAGAAACGGAGCCAAAACCAAAAACCCAAAATTGCCCGAAATCCTTTTTTGGATTGAATATAAACGGGAGACGCCTTAAGAAAAGTTCCTTTGTATACGAAAGTTCTTAAAAGTTGTAAACTCGTAAAAACAGACGATCCACAAGGCGGTAAATAGGTCCGGTGGCCAAGCTGCGCTCTCTTCGCCTCAGCAGCGTCCTCCACCACTGTCGCGGTCGCCGCGGCTGTCGCCGTGGGTGCTGGGGCTGTGGCCGGGTTGACGGGCGGGCGGCGCCGCCAGGTGAGACTGGCCGCAGCGGCGCGGATCTGCGGTCTGGGCGGCGGCGCGGGGTGCGGAGTCCGGGGGGCTGCGCCGGGCGCGCGCGGCCATGGGCGCTGGCCGCAGGCGGGTGGGTGGGTGGGGGGCCGGAGGGGCGGGGAGGGGCACTCGGCGGCTCCCGGTGCCGCCGCCGCCCGCCACCGCCTCTGCTCCCCGCGCGCCCACAGCCGCGCTCGCTGTCTCGGGCCGGGGAACTGCCGGCGGCCGCCGCGCGCTCCTTACTTAACTTCTCGGCTCCCGCCCTACCCCCGCCTCCTACCCGCTGTACGCCGCGGCCCGCCGCCAGGCCCCGCCCCCTCCCTTTCTTCTCCCCTCCCTCCTACGGCCCCCCCGCGCGTTGCCATGGCAGCTAAATAAACAAACTCGGCGCACGTGGGGGCGGGGGGGAGGGAGGGGCGCGGGGGGGGGGGAGGGGGGGGGGCGGGGGGGAGGGAGGGGCGCGGGCGGGGCCCGGCCGAGCCGTGACGCCAGCCCGGCAGCTGGCGAGCAGGAGCCGCGCTGACGCCGGAGGTGGCGGCCCCGGCGGCGGCGGCGGCTGTCCTAGTGCGGGGCGGTGCGTACTGGGCGCACGTCCGGTCGCTCTGCGACCGGGGCAGTCTGCGTCGCGGTGGTCCGCTCCGGGGGTTCGAAGCCCGTGGCGGAGAAGTCTGGTAGGGGTTGAGGGGTCGGTTCCGCGCCCCCCCCCCCGCTCGGGCCCCTCCTCGCGGCGCACTCTGCGCGCTAGAGAAAAGCGCGATTATCCGCGTGACTCACTCAGCTTTCCGTCCTTTTCCTGCGCACGCAGCAGCCCGGCGCTGGTCCCCCGAGTGCCAGTGCGGGCTCTTGGCTTGGCTTCGCGGGGTTTTTCGTGGGTTCTCCGGCCGGGTGGGATGGGGGTGGGAGGCAAGGAAAGGTGGGTGCCCAGCACTGTGATGGAACTGAGAGCCAGAAAAGGCCTGAAAGGGTGGAAAGAGGTTGGAGCGGGAAGCGGAGTTACGGTTTGGATATTTCGGGGAGCCAGAAAGTGAGTGAAAGGGCTTAAGACTGATTGTGGGGTGGAGAAGGCATAGGGGTCGTGAGGCGCAGACACCTTTCAACCCGAGAATCTCAAGGGCGCAAGCCCGCACCCTCCTTTCCACTTTATGGATGGGCAAACTGAGTCATAAAGAGGTGAAACGGCGAGGTAAATGTCGGACGGGGAGTTCTCTCCCTTGGCTCAGGTTCCGAGCGGTCAAGCCCACCGAGAGGCACTTAGCTGGAAAGTGGCCACATGCCAGGAAGTGGAGCGGTGCGGGGGGACCCCGGTTCCCGAAAAGGGCACAACGAGCTCGCGGCAGCCGTTCCTGCCCACCGGGAAGAGAAGAGGAAATGGTGATCGTTATTTCAGCCTTATAACTTTGCCTCCCCACCCCCACAGTCCCCTTAGTTTGTGATCAGTAATTTTCCAGCCGGGAAATGTTTTCGCCCTCATCTCTGCAAACTGACTTTTTTTTCGCCCCCGAACGTGAGTGTGGTGTTCGGTATCGCCTGCTAAACGTAGGCTTGCGAAGTGTTTGGTTTGGATTGAGGCGCGCAGTGCCGGGTTCCACCCGCCCTATCCACGGAGCCTCCTCTCCAGTGAACGCTGTCGATCCCAGGAAAGACGAGGGGGAGGAGGAAAAGGGTCGAAGCCCCAACACGGGGCGGAGTGTTCGCTTACTCTCACAGAGCTCTCTAGTTGTTGCGTCCTACTTTAAGTCGTTGTCACCTGTTACTTGAGTTCTGCGATTCTGGTACCTATTAGGTTTCCTCAGAGTATTTGTTATCCCCTAGTTTCCCACTTCTTGCCGACCACAGCAGCATTCTTGGAATGCATCTCATCCCGAGTGAATCCACTGTGCCCCCTCTGCCAACGACAGGAATCCCTCTAGGTACAGAGAGTTGGACGCCTTTGAATATGACTTCCATCCTTTGGCCAGGGCCTGCGGGGAGGGGGGTGTGTGCGCTGCTTTAGCAGGGAAAACCCGACCCTCCCTCGGGCTGGAGGGTTCGGCCTCACTCCATAGGAGCAGCCCAGTTACTTTAACTCTGAAAACATTGCCCTTTTCAAACGGAGAAGGCAAGAAAGGAAAACACCTGCTACCCCTCCCCCCACTCCTTTCATTGTGATGGCAAAAATTTCTTGGGATGCTAGAACTTGAGGATTGCATGAAAACGTTATACACTTTTACATCAAGGCCTAGGTTCCTAAACCCCAATGAACTTGATTGGTAGCCATTTCCCTAGGCATGTAAACGACGTAAATCAGGACTTGGAGTTTGTAGCCACTGCATGAGGGTTTTTTTGTTTGTTTGTTTTTGTTTTTTCTGTTTTGCTCTTATTTATCTAAAGCAGTAACCCATCCCTTTCAACAAAAGTTAACCACCCCAATGAAAAAACAGTATTACAAGGGCGCCTGGGTGGCTCAGTGGGTTAAAGCCTCTGCCTTCAGCTCAGGTCATGATCCCAGGATCCTGGGATGGAACCCACATGGGGCTCTCTGGGCTCTCTGCTCAGCGGGGGGCCTACTCCCCACCCCCCCCCAGCCTGCCTCTCTGCCTACTTGTGATCTCTGTCAAATAAATGAATAAAATCTTTAAAAAAAAAAAACAGTATTACACAGATGAATCAGAAAGACACTATTCTCATGTCATACAATCAAGACAAGATTCTGGGGGCGCCTGGGTGGCTCAGTCGTTAAGCATCTGCCTTCAGCTCAGGTCATGATCCCAGGATGCTGGGATCAAGCCCAGCGTCTGGCACCCCGCTCAGCGGGAAGCCTTTCTTCTCCCTCTCCCACTCCTTCTGCTTGTGCTCCCTCTCTTGCTGTGTCTCTCTCTGTGAAGTAATAAATCTTAAAAAAAAAAAAAAAGACGATTAATAAAAAGATGAACTTGTAGTTTCCAAACAGCCTTCAGGAGGACTAAAGCCAATGCCTCTTTGTGGCAAGCAACTATCTGGTTATTTCTCTGATTGCATCATAAAATGAAATCTCTATATTTATTCTGGATTTCTAGAAGTGGTAAGGAACTTCAAGTTCACAAATCATCTCCTTTTCAAGGCAGGTGCCTGGTGTGACAACAGGGTTATGACCCTCCCTCTTTCAGAACAGGTAGGTCCAGAAGAGTTAAATCCCTGCCCTGTATAATTTATAAACATGAGGCTGAGTAAACCTTTGATGACTAAATTGCACTCTAAAATAATAATAATAGAAGACACCCTTTAAAGAAGAATTACATACTTACTGGTGACTATTTCAGCAAACTGATATTACAAGTTTTGTGGTATGGATGTTAATTATTAATGTCCATGGAGTTATAGAATAGATTTTTTTTTTTCCAAGCACAAACTGCATTCGTTGGCAGAAGAAGTGATGGAAGCTGTCAGTGTTAGGGGATTGGCATGGAGACTTGGAGGGGTGTGAGAGGTTGAAAAGAGGCTCAACATGCTTCCAGTGAAGGACCCCTGCACCCAGGACTGAGCACCAGATTTGGACAAATAGAACTCCCCAGGGAGCCTGGCTGCACCCTGGCCTGGGGTATCTGGAGAACTGGCGCAGGACTCAGGAATGGCTGGTTTATTGTTGTTTTGTTTTTTCAGAAGGTGGCAAAGCTTTTCTCAGCCCCCACTTTCATTCCTTGGAAAGTCCAGCCTCTCCTTGCACCTGGGTTACATGGGAGATGTTAAGAAAGTGGGCTTTAGCACGGAGTTGCCTCGGCTTGTGTTCCAGCTGTGTTGCTTTTAGCTTTTCAGGTTATTTGATGCTATTTTATAGGGATAGTTACAGTACCTACTTCTTAAAGTGATAAGGATTATAAGTGGAATTATCCAGGTAAAGTATTTAACGTAGGCCCTGGTGCTGAGTGCATGATGGGTATTCCTGTCACCAGAATTCTCCAGGGCACCCTAGGCTTCCTAAGGGCAGGAGCTATTGTCTTGTTCACTGCCATATCCCCACGTCCTAGTATAGTGCCTGTCTGGTACATAGTAATGCTCTGTGTTTGTTGAATGAATGAATAATGTACTTCAGCAGGAAGTTGGCCTTTCCTTTCAGCTCTCCCTTGGAGGCTCATGAATCCTTTTTTGTCAGGAGCTTCAATCCACCCAAAGTCTTATCCTAAATCGCCCCCACCCCACCCCGCCATTGTTTGATCACCCTTTCCCAGCTTCCCAAACTAGAAACCTAGATTCTCCTCAACTCCTCCCTCATTTCCTTTGGCCTGGGCATTTAGGCATCTCCAGAGCTCAACCATTTCCATTCCTAAATGACTCTGCTACCTTTGACAACATTGGGCGCCTTGGTTCAAGCTCTCCTCATTTATGGCTTTTAATTATCACTGTGGCTTCCCCAAACCGTTGTCCTCCTCCTCCTTTTTCTCCACTGCTTCCCCCATAATCCCACTGAAACTTCCCTGCTAGATCTAATCCATTTTTATCACAAATCCCTTCTTAGCCTGGTGTACCACACTCTTCATACTAGCGCCCTCAACAAACTTTGCGGACTCATCTGTAGAGACTGACCCCACCTTCCCTAAACTTCAACTGGATGTTCTCTCAAGTCTGAACACACGATGTGTTTTTCTCCATTGGCTCTTTTTCTATCTCATTGCCTCTTCTCCCCTGGGGGCCTTCATCATCCTCAAATTGTGGAGCCCCTTCTAATTGTCCCTTGGTCCCTCAGTCCCCATCTAGGGGAGTCCTCTTCCAATAAAGCTGGGTGGTGACTCTGCTCTGCCGTTTACCTAGTGGACTCCCGTGGTCTGGTGGCTTGTTCGTGGCTCCTTTTCCACCATGGCATCTTTAAGACAAATGCCCAGTGAGGACACATTCCAGAATGAAAGGAGCAAAGCTGCCTTGGTATGAAGTGATTCATCTGGAAACCCTGCTCTTTCCTATCTTGTCAGTAACGTTTCTCTCTGGTGCAGGGTTCACTGGCTTGGTTTGCTGTTTTCCAATCCCTCTCTCCCCTCCACCCACTTCTTTTCTTCCTTTGAAAAGTGC